GAGTGTTTCACTGGAAACAAATGAGGACATTTCGCGTCAGGATACCTCAGCTGCTCTTAAATAAACTTACAAATGAGGTTCTGCCACAGTCATTTTCTTCAGATACCAGCTAATGCATCCAGACACCCGGCACTGGAAGGACTCATTGTTTTGAGAAGCAGGTCATGTTTAATAACGCCTTGCTAGAAATACTCTGTGACTGGGTCAGCTCCCATTTGAATATCTAAACCAGTGGCTAAGTTTTCCAGAACAGCCATGGAAAATGGAATCTTAAACTGTTCTGAGAATCTGACCTTAAACGCTACCAAAAGGACACACTGCATCACTTTTGTAAATATAAGCCTTTTTTTGAAGGAAGCCTAAATGGAAACAGAACACCTCAATATAGGTGAACGGAAAGATTTGGAGGCAGAGAGAGAGGAGACAGGGCAGAATCTGATGCCAAGTCTTTATGTCTGTCTCTGCTACAAAAGTAATTCAGTAACTACTCTGCATTTCAGGAAAGTGGCATTTATCCTAAGGAATGCAAATGAGAATGATGTTTGTCACACATGCAAAGGGAACCTTTATCACCCTCTTGGCCAGCACAGCCGGCTGATGCTTTTTGCCTGTTGTTTCAAGAGCCAACAGAACATTAATAGCTAGAGAGAGAGAATAAGCCCTACAGCCTGGAGAAATTTGAAAGAAAACTGCAAATGTTGGTAAAACGTGACGTTATGCTTACTGTATGAAGATAACTATATTAGGCATTTATGCTAAAGTGGGAAGAAAAGGAAAAAAAAGAGCATAAAAAGATTCAGGTCTATAAAAGAGAGAAAGAAGAAGGGAAATTTAGGCACAGAGAGACTGTCACCTCCAGCTAATCCAGCTATGACCCAACCACTATTTTCTGTCGTTCCAGCTGAGAGGAACGTGCCAGTCAGAAATTGTTTTGATTTCAAACTTTCATAAATAAATACATTTAAAATTACATATTTTCCACAGAACTTCAACTTCTGCTGTGGGAGGCTGATAAAAATAATGAGTGCCTTGCCCCTTTCTCCCCAAGTGCATTTGCAATTGTCACCAGAAAGCTGTCTCCATGCCAGAATTTATGAGAAATAGAGAATTTTAAGCAAGCTGGGCGTATTGTAGCAGTGAAGGGTTTAGGACGTCACCTTAGAAGGAGAAAGAAAAGTCCCTGAAACCTCACTGGTGCCCCTGCAGTCATCCCTAAGTCTTTGCGCAACCTCCTCTCCTACTCCCTTCTTCATTTTTAATTAATTGTTTTTGCGTAAAAGCTCTGATGCTGAAAGGGAGACTATTTTTAAAAAATTCCTCTACGGCCACTTCCTGCCCCCGCTGCTGGAGAAGCGCTCGCCCTCCTCCTTCCCCTGCTCTGCCTCAGTCGAGAGCTGTGGGTAGATCAGAGAACGGCATTTTCTATGCAGGACATCCACACCTTTAAAGTTAAAAACCTTCAGCCTAATTCCCCTGAATCGTTAGGTTTGTAAGGATCTCAAGTTGCGCCAGGGGAGGCTCAGGCTGGACATTAGGAGTTCACTGTTAGAGTCGTTAGGCGTTGGAACGGGCTCCCCAGGGATGTGGTGGAGTCACCATCCCTGGAGGTGTTCAAAAACTGTTTAGATGTGGCGCTTCAAGACATGGTTTAGTGGACAGGGTGGCATTGGGTATACAGTTGGACTTGATGATCTTTGAGGTCTCTTCCAACCATAATGATTCTATGATGAGTTGGGCATGCCATTGCTTGCCTTTCCTTGGCCGTCAGCCTCCTTGGGTGCCTCCTGCAACCTCGGGAATTGCCCCCTTTCTCTGCCCTAATACCTGGCACCCTACTGATTCTTCTTCTTAACCAATGCTGGGACCCTATTGCCTGTCGCAAGTGA